ATACCTACTGCCGTAGAAGTCTCTTGTCTTTAACACTGAGAATTTGAAACTGTGTGGAAGCAATTTTAACCCTTGACACCTTAACATTGGTAACCAAATTCTCCTTACTCTTCTGTGTAATTTCCTGGTACTTACAAGGATAATTTGTTTAATAACTAGGGATTCTTGGGTTGGTGATCATTTTTTTGATCCGTTATGCTACTGGTTAGATTAACATAAAACAAAAGAAAGAAACGCACAAAAACCCATGGCTGAATTTGGAATTCAACAGCCATCGATATATTGTTGAGCACCGACAAAATATCGACCATGGCCGATGTGATATTGATTCCTTACCGATGCTGTGTTTTCCTGGCCCGCTCGCTCAGCAAATCTAATCACGTGATTGATGATCGGCGCCACATTGGTTGGGCCATACAGCTGCACTTGGCGAATGCAATTCTGATATGCAAGAACAATTTCTTGGATGCCTGCGAAACGGAAAAAAAAGGCATAAATAAACTTCAACATATTTAATCTGAAGCATTTCGATCATCGTAGGCGCGTTATTTTCCGTTAAGTACATGCGAAATGGCATATATTCGCATTTAAGAATGAAAGTAAGATTTCATTTCCGCCGAATTTTGATGAGCGGCGACATGTCCGAATTCTTTTAATTCTTTTTAATCGAATTATCTATCTAAAATGCATCCTTTGTAATCTGCGTCTTAAGTTTTACCGTGTAAACACTCTATGAATTTTGAGAGCGTTGTCAAGATTGTAGAGAAGAAGCAGCCGGTTTGAAACAACCGTGTGTGGGCCTCTGTATTATCTACGGTATAGTACAAGATATTCTTGCACCAATTTTTTTTTGCTTCCATGGATTATAGTCCATCAAAATTTTGAGCTAACGCGCGATTAATGTATGGATTAAGCGCAGCGCATGACCGACCGAACATGCCTCAGCTGAATCTTGGAAATATCCGATGATATACTTCAAGTGCTACTCCCCGATTTTCAAACCTTTCCAGAACGATTACAATTCTTCGTTTATAGTTTAATTCAAGATAAGAGTGCGTTTTGTTGTTGTTACAGATAAACGGATACATCTGTTTAATCATCGCGTCCTACCAGAGAACAACGAGAAGTACTCTTACCACGCAGTAAAAGGTAAGCTTTTTGTAAACATTTCGTCCCGCGCGTTGCAAAAATATTTAAAATACAATAAACACAGTAGCCTCCATTTGGTATCAAGTTAGGATTGTGTAAGGAAGGGAACAGAAGAAATTTCGGTTAGCGTTCCTTACCATGACAATATGGATTAGTCGGGTTGAAGTTCAAAGGAAACTCGTGGGAAACCTAGAAACCAAAAACAAATCAAAAACCTTTAGAGCAAAGGAAAGGAAAAATTAACAAAACAACTTATTTACGTAAATTATATTATAACAAAAAATATACAAATGTATACAATAAACTTACTCACAATTCAGTTTTCCCTTTGATTCTCACCCCCCACTGAGGCATTAAAATTCAAGAGGGAAAAAAAGTGATAAATGAAAAAAAAAACAAACAAACAAACAAACAAGATATGTTGCTTACAGACCTGCATGCCTGGTGGAATTTTAGCCCCAAATCCTAACGCTGGGAAAAATTTATCACTGCAATAAGGAAAATAGTGTCAATGAAAAAACGTTTCAAGAGAGAGAAAGCACAATGTTGAGCATAAAGGAAAAAATTGGAACGGAGGAACAGCGAAATGGAGGAACAGCGAAATGGAGGAACAGCGAAATGGAGGAACAGCGAAATGGAGGAACGGAGGAACGGGGAAATCATACTGAGGAACCAAGGGAAAGGAAAATAAAGATCCACAGAAATGGTAGAACACAGGAATAGTGGAACACAGGAATAGTGGGATGGGGGAAAGGGAAATAAAAAGTTATTCTTACGTATCATAGTCTTGACAAACTTCACCAACAGCTACTAGAGCCTTGACATACTCATTGGGTTCATGAGAATGCAAATAATGAAGAGACTGGGCATTGCGTGGATCACCATTGGATGCTGTGAAGTCAATACCAACCTA